TGGGGGGGGGGGTATTTTTGTTTTGTTTTAGTAAGCAATTTACTGCACTTGCAACACAATTAAGTGATATATATATATACAAGAACCGAAGATTAAAGCTGTAACAAGAGTAGCAAACACTAAAAAGAAAGAGGAGAGAAAAGAACAATGTTATGTAGGAAAAAAGGATCAAACCACACCAAAGCACCTGCTATCCACCCACTGTCAATGTCAATGTTTGCCAGTGTGTCAAACCCCATCAAGAGAAAAGCCAAACCAACCATGGATTAGAACTCAACCTTGAATAGATCAGTCAGTTTTGTTTACAATACAACAATATTTCTTCTGTAATATAATGAATGACACCAAATGTAGACAGGCTTGATACAACAAAAGTAATGTTTTCCAACAAATAAAAGAAAGATTCATTGGTGAAAAGAGATGGAGGCACTTTTAATCATATTTCAAAAGAAATACACAAATTTTTGCAAATGCACATTAACACATACCTACAACTGTACACCCAAATACACTTCTTACTACCTAATCATGTATACTTCCATGTACATTTGCATACAAATGCAAACAATCAAAATGACATGCACATCATAAACAAGATATTCTCAAACAAACTCACTCACAAATGTACCTATTTTTTCAGAGATGAATATAATCTCATATCACAGTATTCAAAAAGATCACATCATTACAGAGTGGCTATTTAAGATTAGGAATAAAAATTTTTGTACAAAAGTATTTGAAAAAAAGAAGTTGCATTCATGAGAGACTATTACTTTCTCCGTCATTGCATAAATAATTGGGCCAGCTATTTCAATGATAAGTTTCCTTTTAACCATCTTCATCATCACAAACAAAGGAAAAGAACAGTTAAACAAGATAGATGCCACAAATCATGCATCATGCACTTTGTATGCCCCTCCCCCTTAGGAGACACATAATACATAATACATTCATACAATGTGGTTTGCAAGCTTGAAAAAAATTATAGGCCTACTTACAGTCATGTTATTAGATTAGTTCATAGTAAAACCAGCACACGTGGGGACCTCATGGTCTATAGGTACATTGTTCAGCTCTCGTTCAATAAATCCCGGGTTCGAAACCAGACAGCGACGAAAAATATTTTTCTCTGAAATGTTCTCCTTTCCCCTCCTTTCCTGCTCACTAACAATGTTCTGTCCTCTGCTTTCGTCTCCACTTTATGCCCCCGCCCCCACCTCCCCTTTGCCCCCTCCTCTGGACTCCTCTGTCTGCAGCCTTTCCACTGCTACTACTTGGGTCCTTCTTACTGCTTCCTTTCAGCCACACCCCTGATCTTAGGGCAAGTAAGATCTAATACCTCGCCTTCTCGGATAAGGGAGAAAAATTCTCGGAGGTCCCTTGTGCAAGTTGCACATGTTTAAGATCCCTTGGTGGTCCAAAATTGATAAGAGAACCGGGTAGGCTTTTGACTCCACCTGGATACAATTTAAAATTAATTCCTACCAAATTAAAAAGGTTTAATGTGTCCTACCTGCGCAATCATATGGCCTTATGCAGATGTGAGGCCAGTAAATGCTTACTAAAACCCCCCCCCCCCAAAAAAAAACAGCACACTGCTGGCTGTGCAGAATCAAGTGCGGAGGGTTCTGATTTCTTAAAGTCTCTACTGTTGGAAACTTTGGTTCACAAGATCACCTTGACACACAGCACATCATCAGCCAGCTAATGAAATTTAATTAAGATGAAATTTTTTTTTTTTTGTTGTTGCAATTTTTTTAGTCAGTGGTATCTATTCCATATGCTCAAGAAATATTTTGTTGCAACCCAAATTCTAACTGTTGAAAAAGAGCACACAAAAACCCATATAATTTTAGTATAATTTCTTTAATAATAATAGATAGTAGATAGCATTTGTATAACGCAAATCCTTGCTCAACAGCAAGCTCTATGCGTTTCACAATCTATACTATTACCACAGCAGACCTGAGAGCATTCTGAAACAACCTCAACTTCCTGGGAAGCATACAGTGCAAGCGGCCTTTATTGGCGCTAAAGCACTAACATACTGACAAGATCTTTCGCTCTCTATGGCCGGGTACTCATTTCTACCTGGGTGAAGTGAGGAAAATTCATGTAAAGTGCCTTTCCCAAGGACACAGCGTCAGGCCCACGACTCCAACCCCGAAACCCACAATATGTTAAAAGAATGAAACAGTTGGGGTTTTTTCTCTTCAATAAAGTTTTTCTCTCTTGGTTTAGTACATTTTAACAACTTGTTGGCCAATGGCCTCGTACTGGTGAACTTCCCACATATAGCAATATGCTAATGTGAACGAACGTTTAGAAAAGAGAAAATTGAGACCCACTACACAACACCACACGCTACCGCTACAAAAAGAGACAAAAATTGCTGACTATAAATCCCACTTCTACAAGAGCCAAATATTTGGGACAATGAGGGAAAAGTAAGTAATAATCATAAGGAATAGAATTTGTATTGTGCATATCACCACTCAACATTCAACAGCAAGCTCTATCATACTCTATGCCCTTTGCAATTTATATTATTACCCCAAGAGACCACAGCAAACTCAGCAGCATTTTTGGCTAGCCAGGATATAGTGCAAGCAGCTGAATAAATGCTCAAACAGTAACAAACTGACAAGGTCATTTAAGCTGTCCATAGCTGGGTTTTCATTCCCACCTGGGTGAAATGAGGAAAAGTAGTGAAATATTTCTTTCCCAAGGACAACGTCAGGCCTGTAATGGGGTTCAAACCAGTGACCTTTGAGCTGCAAGCCCAACAGCCTAACCACGAGACCACCGATTAGACAAAACAACTGATGAGACATTTCTGGGTTGGTGGATGTATGAACTGCTGATATTGTTGTTCTTATGAAAGGACCTAAGATAAGCCCCTTTATTTAATAACATGAACAACAGAGCAAATCTCAGTTCGCTGACATCTGCAACGTGACTGCAAAATAAGAAAATTAAGCTATCAATAATTCAGTTCAAATAAAATCAAAATGACATTCACACCACAATCAAATCAAAATAAATTACCACGATGTAACTAGACCTAACAAAGTAAAACCAACAAAAATTGTCTATAGTAATAGTACCTGCACAAAATTAAAAAGAGCAGAAAGTTAAGATCTAGCAAGGATGGGAATAAATCTGCAACACAAAAATAATTACTAATCAAGAAAAGACATAGATCAAGGCATAACTTATTGCTCAAGATATCATGACAATTGTAGGTTATTTTTTATATCAGTAACAGTTAGAGCATCTTTTTTCCAGTCTACCATGTAAAACAGATACTATTCAAAAGGGTTTTCAAATAACAGTTCATGTTCAAAAGAGTTTGCTCTGAAAAATATCTACTGTTCAAAACTGACACCACATTTCATTTGCTTTTATCACTTAACTTCTTCGAAGGTTTAAACTAAACAGAAAAGTCAATACCAAGCAGGACAGGCAAAAGTACAACAAAAATACTTGATTCTAGAACTAAAAGCAGTAAAGCTAAAGAAAATTGACAATCTACTGTCAAAGTAAATAAAATCAATTTTAAAAGTGCATCTCAAAGATCTGTTTGCTTCGCTTTTATGATTTCAAGTGTATATGTTACAAGCCATCCCATGTTATGACACAATATGCGTACAGTACCATATCACATGAGACTTTATCCTGTAAACTCATTGTAATCTCCAATTTATATTTTCTGCATAACCATAGAGGAAAACTCGAAGCGACAGACCAAACTTCACGCCAAAGCTTACTTAACAAGCTTTAACCGCCTGTGTACCAGACATATATGACTCAGCACACAGAGAGTACATTTACCTGTTGATTGTTTGGAGATCAGGTGCAGAGGTCATGTAGGCTTAGGTGGGCTGGGTTGAAGGGTCAAAAATGGACAACTTTTCTACATCAACATAAAGCCCCCAAAATAACTATTACTGAAATCCAATACTAAAAGAATGTTATCTCCAACAGTAAAGTTTAATGTATTTTCTCACCAAAAATGAAAAAAAAGTTCATAAAATATTTTTTCATTTAAGTAATCTTGAAAGGGAGGAGAAAAATAAATGAGAACAAGTAAAGCAGGCATGAGAAAATGGACATAAACATACGAGTGTATCAGGGAGGGTGAAAAAAGGGACATAATTTGTGATAAAAAAAGAAAAGAAAAGAGAAGCAATTACCATAGCCTGCTTTGGCTGATAGTGCTTGAGAATCATTTACAGAGTAAAAAAAACTCTCCGTCAACCATTTGCAGTTATTCTAATTTGAATCATTTTGTTTCTACTGGCTCCACAGACATATCCTACGGCCTTTCAACTTTAAGAGCTCCCTTGACTATGTGCTTCTCACAGAATTAATACAGTACTCAGACTTAGTTTAACAAAAAGCCGCTTAACCCCTTCATAACCTATATGACCTCATTTTGTCTTATACGGCGAAGGAGGCACGTTGCTTCTGTGATGTACGGCATTCGTCACACCTTGCAAAGCACGAGGACCATGATGACAAAAGCTGTTCACCATATTTGTATCCGGCATACTGCTTTTATTAGATGCACGACGCAAAACTAATTGCAGATTCATATTCAGCAATGTTTTTTTCCATACAAAGATACCTTTTTCCCTTTTGGCAGTATTTACAAACCGGGTCTAAATATGCAGGTAAGGGTTCGCTGAATCCAGCGCTACTCTTTGTCCCTTGAGACCCAAAATTGTGTCCGGTGACGCACAAACTCACCCTGTGTCATGAAGGGGTTAACATGGCATTCTAGTCACCTTAAAAGAAAATCAAATCCCTGTCTCTTTTCAACCTTTTATTCTATGCATTGCAACTTCTCTAACCACGTAAACCTGCACAACATGAAGAAGTTCTCTGGTCCCATAAAGTTCATGTTATCATGGTTTTACTGAAGTCCCCTTCCTAAGCAGTTATAACTGGCACCAGAGAGGAAATAATTTTATTCATCAAATCAACAGGTGATGTGTCGATCAACGGCCAACCTTACTAAAATGTGGAGCAAAATATTGTCATTTCAATCACTTCTTTCCTTTCACCACAGAGTCACGCTGCATTCTGTTGCGACATCTGTAAACCTTGAATATGTCTGTTAATCTTCAGTGCTGGTCCAAGTTTCAGCTCTAACCCCTTCAGCACATCTGCTCTCTTCAAGAGAAGTAATGCGACACCATCGATTTCCTGCATGGTGATAAAAAGAAAATAAATACTCAAAAATATGAACAACATCCTAAGACACACTAATTTTATATACTGAAAATAAGTTTTTTGATGCACGAAAAAAAAGTTCTACAAGCTGCATCCCCAAATCACACCCTAACTTCAGGTGTGGATGTCACAGCATGTCACCATTTCCATTTTAGACAATCTTGTCCTGTCTGTTATCTTGTCACTGAGCAACTTTTATCATGACTGTACATGCTGAAAAAAGTATGTTTTCATTTTAAGCGACTGAAATGAGATAGTTGTTCTCCTATGGCTGCGAGACTTCTGAGTAGTTTCAAAGAAGACCTCTTCTCTAATCTTAATTTTTTCCGGACGTAGTTGTTTTGGAGTCTAGACGTAATTAACTAGTGACTTGATTCGGCTAAACTGGTGATTACAAAATAATTTTGTATTTTAAGCAAAGCCATCACTCAAAACGTAACATATGACATATATATCAAATTGAAGGAAATTGAATGAGGAATACATTCCAACATGAAACAAGGATTAATTTTGAAAATAAGTATGCATTACAAGGGTTAGAAATGGCCATGGTTGAGAGAAAAATATTTTTTGACGGAAAAAAATTACACACACTAAACATGTGAAAGCAAATCAGTATAGCTATCTTATCATATACAGGCCAATTGCAGATTCCATAAATTGCTGAATGTGAGGTTTTTATTTGAATGCAATTTTCCAATTTTTGTTTGAGTTACGATATTTAAACTGAGTCCAGTTAGATCATTTTGCTGATGCAAGACCGCAAGAACTAATTCACTCGTTTTTCGCCAGACTGACGCTTTGACAAAGTGAAACTAGATGTCTTAGTTTCCTAGACCTTTTCCAAGTTTTCAATAACAATAAAATGTACTTATAAATAATGGATCACATTAAAACAAAATAAACTGAGGCACCCCATCATAGCCGATATATCGGTGATACATCCGCAAGTGATGTGGACTCGAGCCGATATATCAGCGATACGTCCGGAAAGAGTTAAGAATACTTACTGTATTATATGGATCTACAACATGTTCAGCCTTTTCAAAGCAAAACTTGGGAAGAAGCACTTGTACAAAAATATACATTCCACTCATTAGTATACATTAAGACAGCCACACTGTCACACAGAAAAAAAACTATGTTCTCACTATGGCCAATTGGATCAGCAAACAAAATAAAGTCACCTGTTCTCTGAATATCTTTGCTTCCTCTGAAAAGCCCACAGAGCTCAAGTACTTGACAACATCATCCACCGTCCAGTTTGAGGCATCAGGGTACACACTCTCATAGCCAGCCAGTGGGGACAGATGAAAATCTCCATTTCTGGGAATGCAGGATGGGATAACATAGGCTGTTGTAAGTATTTTTCAAGTGTATTCCAAACTCCATCTGTTTTGCTTGTCTCCTACAAAGATAAAGAGTGGGATCTCTTAAACAGGCTCAAAGACCTAAAGGGCAGGAGCGACCCTTGATTTTGCTGATTTTTGGTCAGGCTATGCACACTGAGATGTTTGCTGATTTTTGAAGATCAACCTGTTCTTTGTCTAAAATAGGCATGGAGACAATTGAGAAAGTCTTTATTCTCCTCGAAAATTGCCTTTGAAAACATGAGGTTAGGTAAATATAGTCAATTTTCACAATAATTGTCGTTTTTCGCTAAACGTCAATTGTTTGCAGTTTTTTCCCTACTCCTTCCTTAGTTTTCATCCTTTTGACATGAAACTTTCAGGAAAAAATGATGGCAAGGCTGCCATCAACGAAACAGAGAGATATTTGCGAAACAAATAACACTTTTCCATTCGAAAGTGATTACACAACCTAAATTTAGAAAAGCTTTTTTATACTTTGGGAAAATTCTCATATTTTTTGGGCTTCTGCAATTATTGAAAAACACTCGTAGCTACGCTGATAGGGTCTGGTTCAGGTACACTCTCACCAAATTTGGTCACATTTCAACAGTAGATAAGAAAGTCATAGGGATTTGAAATTCATTGTGTATTTTCAAGATTGCGACCGTTTCCATAGCAACCACCGTAGTTATGCCAAAATAAAATTGCATATAAAGAGGTTTTACTCTGCCCAACTTATATGTCTACTTAGATTTGATCTCGGGAAAACAAACATAGAAAATGGTCCTCAAGGGTCGCTCCTCCCGCTAAGCACCCATCTCCCCCCTCCCTCCCTCTCTCTCTCTCTCTCTCTGTCTCTCTCTCTCTCT